TTTTATATATTTTTTCGCCGGTCCGGTTTGGTTTTAAACCGCAATTAAAATTCTCAAATCTAAACCAAACCATTTTGACCAATTTGGTTTGGTCAAAACCATTTCGTTGACCAGATCCACGTGGTACCAAACTGACGATTTCTAAATTGCGATTTCGGTTCGATTTTTCAATTAGACAATTTTTGCTTACAGCCCTAATTGGCGTGCTCATCATTTGCCAAGTGAAAGTACTCAATTATGGTTCTTTATTTGTCAAGATGAAGCGGTTGCTCGCAGTATAATATTTAGTATACTAGATAAGGCGGATCGACTAGAGTCAATATTGGCCACTCAGTTGCGTAACGAGGAAATATGTAAAATATGTAGGATTAAGGAGGCTTAAATGACTCCTAATTGGATTTGTCATTAGGTAGCGTATGGTGTTAGTCTTATATACTATCCGACATTTGTAATAATTTCCAAATATTTTTAATCATTCCTTGTAGGAAGCATCGCACCGAGTTCGTCAAACATGAACTGAAATTTATTGCAGTGCCATTGTTTTCTTCACCCACTTCTTGACCTTGTAGCTTTACATATAATATACAATTAAGTGGGCGGCCCTATTGAATGATTGTTCTTTACGAATGTGATGGGTAAATTATGAGTAATGTTATTTAATATTATTGGTGTATAAATATCAGTATAGTTAATATTACTATGACAATTAAATTGATTATTTATTTTATTTTTTATTGAGTCTATTACTTAGCATCATCTAGATAGATTTTGTAGCACCTGATTTTAGATAGCATTATTCAGAAATTATTGATGTCTTAATCTTAAACTGTTATCAATTAATTAAGGAACGATTATGTTTTAAACGAGGTTTAAACATTTTCCATTTGTCTTACAAATTCACGACTACACAAAATATTTGTTGTGTCAGATCACATAAACGAAATATTTATCGACTTGAAGACTTTGTGGAAACATATGATGTCAGAAAAGTAAAACAAATTCGTGCAGAATTATCACATTCAATTTTCTTTTTTGGAATAATTTATTCGTAGTCATTCAGTACGATAATCGTTCGACGTGACATATACCTAACAATTTGTCATTAGATGCATTAATATAGTAATTTTTTATTGCCTTGTGTATTAAATAACAACTAGCTATGTGTATATCATGTAAGACAACTATCGATAATTTTCAGTATGAATAGTATTGTTCTTTGTTTTTTTTTGGGAGCATGTTGGAATGGATTTATAGTTTAAGAAGAATAATAATATTTGTTGATTTCGATTTTTGATTGGTGATGTTATTAATAGATTTCAACTTCACTCATGTTCACACGTATAGCTCCTGAACACTTGAACAAGTTGTAAAAAGCACGTGGCCTTCTCCAACAATGGGGGAGGTGGTCACATATACTCCAACAGTCAAATCAATAAACTTATATATATAGATGTGGGTTGGACGGAAGACATGAGTTACCATGATGTACGAGCATAAGGGTGTATATAGAATCACAAGAGAGCAATAGTACCATGGGTGTGTAATATTGATTACCTTCAAATGAAGGCAAGGGAGTGAAATGATTGCTGTTGGATGAATGGACTTGTGTTCTCATCTTAATGACCAAGGTGCCTCATCATAGGTGTCACTTCTATAGTTTTAGGTTCAAGGACATTTAATACTTTCGAAAAGTAGCCACCTTATAATCTAAACCTTACATATGACAAATAGACTTACAAGCTAATCGAGAGACATTTACTACAGAGAGGTTACATCAATTAATCATTTGAAGGATCTTTTGGAAGAGGTGAAGCAAAAAGATGCCTCCTCATACTTAAAGGCTAGTTGCTTTCGAATCACTATGCAGCAGGTTGTGACACTTTGCCTCAATTATGGACGATTGGCCTTATACATGACGCTTCGACTGAGGTGATGCATCACTCCGACTACCTATGTTTGATGGCTTCAACCGTGTCAAGTAGGATAGTAGCATCGAGTGTCAATCTGTGTTGGGTAGCTCGCCTCTCCTATAGAGGGACAACCTCATGAATGATGCTTTGATTGCATCACTTTGGTTATCTATATCTAATGGCATTGGTTAGGCCATGTAGGATAGTTACATGGAGTGAGGGCCTAATTTGATTTGCTAGCCGGGGACACGTGGTTGATCTTTGGAATCTCATCGGATGAGGCGTAACAATAGTCTCCAACGTCTAACTATGAATATTAATGTTAATGTTAGAGGTAGATTCCGGATCGGACTTAAAAAAAATTATCTCGAGCTAAACTTGAAAAAAAAAAAAAAACCCAAAAATAATTTTTTATGATTTTTTATTTTTTATAGTTAAAAATTTGAAAAGAGCTAGGACCTTAAATCCCTCGGTACTTTAGGTTGAGGGTGAAGTACGTTCTCGTGATATGGAGTGTGATACGAATGTGTTCATTGTTGGAAAATTGATGCTCTAGCATGGAGTTTTTTTTATGTTTGCAGAGATCGTATTGATAGGTGACAATTTGCTTGATTGTGACGAGGTACAACACAATAATTCCTCAACTTCAAGTATAGTTATTACATGACGTATGGATTTATGTTATTGACGATATTTTAGGACACTTTGTGGGGGCAGCTATGCAAAAGTAGATGGTGCTGAGACGAGGTCCTTGCTTGGTTAATTTAGGTATCCACGTGATCGACGGTTTGAGCCTCGTCGGATGAGATGTAATACTATTTGTAAGTTGAGATTTTAAACATTAATCCATGTGGTATTAGAGCCATTGTTGCATTTTTTGAATCTTCTATGAATTTAATGCATCACAATGAATTCCATTTTATGACCAAAATGAGTAACAAAGTATTACATCGATTTAGGTGCCACTAGGTGACATTATCAAGGATGCTAGATATTATTATTTGACCAAAGTTGTGCCATCTCAGCCTGTGTGGAATCAATAGCTTAAAAAGGTAGAATAAGCTACATTGTAAACGAAATATATTTTCATCTAAAAAATAGTGGAACCCACAGATTAAAAACTGTGTTCTTATTTGCCAAACTATCATTGAAGGCTTGATTGAAGCTGTGGAAATTAAGACTCAATTGCACTTTACTAATATTCCAATAAAAGTAGTACTACTAAAAAGAAAAAACTATTCCCTCTCTTTGTTCACTTAATTTCAGTAAATTATTTAAAATATCTAATTTAATGTTTGATATATTCTTCATTTTCATTTTATTGTTTTTTATCTGGTTGTACTAATATTGCTACTGTTATATTCTTTCTTTTTTATTGCCGAATTGTTTTATCTAGATTTATCTGTCAAATTTTACCCTATTTAATAAGCTAAATGAAACATTGAACGACGTCCAACATGTATAATCCTTATCATAACAAATTAAGTCATTTTTAAAAAAAATAAATATATAGACAAGATTAGTATATTTTATATTATTATTATTATTATTATTATTATTATTATTATTATTATTATTATTATTATTATTATTATTATTTCGATGTATTATTACTTTTTGAAACCGTTCTACTCAAATTGCATCCGAACTAGACACTTGTTAAAAATGAAATGTAGGCAGTGGTTAAATTTGTTTTTATTTTTTATTTTTTTCCTTTTCCTTTATTAATTTTCAATATTATACCGTTAACCTCTATTTTTGTCTTTCAAAGTGTTTAAAGTTTAATACTCCACGATATAGATAGGTAAAGGAGAATGGTAGAAACATTTTAACTTTTAAAAAAAAAATGAAAAAAAAAGTTAATTATGAAAATGTTTACAAGAGACTACTTTTCAGTTTTCATCGTAACTTGGACGGCTTAAGAAAATTTTGTCATGGATTTGTTTATGTCATAGCTTAGGTTACATAATCCATTTTATTTTTTTAAACAAAAAAAAAAAAAGTGAAAAATAAGTAGTAGAATTGTATGGTGGTCCTCAAGGGTGTAGCAATCAATCAATCAATTTCGTTTTAATTAATAAAATGGTTCAATGTTGAAGCCTGAAGGAGATGCCAAGTCAAGTCACCGACCAAACCCTCCATTTTCGTATCACCAAATCATGCAAATAAGAACTAAACCAATAACAATAATAAATAATAATAATAATCACTTTCTCCAATTAACTAACATTTTTTTAATCAATTTCTTCCTCATCGGCCTCTTATAATTGACAACTAATTTAGCAGTATAAATTTTCCAAAAACTTCAGTATTCCAGCGGATATTAAACCTTTGTTTGTCATTCATTTTACTACATTATTTTTTCTACAGTACTCATTTTCAACAATACATTCTCCATTAAAATAATATTAAACACAAATTAAAAAAATTTCATTCTTTAACCGCACATTTCAATATCAATTACTATTCCATTATAAACTTTTTGAAATTAAAGGAGCACAAATAGGCCCTAAATGTAAATTTTGATATCGTTTAAATATAAAATAATAGTCAATAAATAAAAGTTTGATTTATTTTACGTATTGGCATTGCTTCAGAAAGAGATTCGATGGAATAGACAGACTGAAACTTCCCTATAGCTCAAGATTGGTTTGGACCTTTCCTGTACAACTTGGTTGGCAGGAAAAGAAGGCTTCCCTTCTTAAAACTTGATTCATTAGTGAGATACCACTATTTAAAAGTAAAATTTAAACATTGCGTGAAGACTTAATGGTAAGGGTTTGATTATAAACATGCTTGGGAAGAATTTATGGACAGATCAAACGCAAATAGAATTTGGGAGGTGGACAAATGAGTATTACTTATGAGAAACTCGAAATTTGAAATTAAAAAGTGATTTGAACGTTTATAAGTATGAACTAAACATAGGTTAAGCTTTAGAATGGAATCTTCATGATTGAAATCAGAATTCCAAAAACTCGATAAAAACAATTTATTCTATCTAAAATTCAAATAAATTGTTAATTTTTTATAAAGTAACGTTATTGAACACCATTTACGGAGATCAGATGGACTGCCTCATTTCCTTATTCCTGCAACTATATTTTGATCTTTGCCCTTTTCACTCTTCGAGCCAAACAAAGGTTTGGCAATTTGCATCGGACGGAGAGAGAATATAAAAGCATTTATGCCTGCAAGCTATCATATTCATATACAAACATGGCGGCCAATTACTAAATTTTTTTATTGCGAGGTAACGCCGACTTCCTTTTTTCTCTGTCCTTCTCTCAAGATAAAGAAGAAAAAAAGGGGCGATGACGTTATAAATATAGATCGAACAAATCTACAAGTATTTGGAGAGAGAGAGAGAGTTGTGGGTCGAGAGAGAGAGAGTTTGTCGGTGTTTGATTTCCTCGTGAAATTGCTTTCGAGAATAACAACGTGGCTGCAAACCCAGATGATAAGAGCCTTAATACGCAGGCTGTTTGTTGAAGCAACGTCACAATTGCACCACCTCACTTCTCTGCGCATGCTTCTCGTTTCTCTCTCTGTTGTTTCTTAAATACTTCGTCCTATTTATTCAATTACACACAATCAACCTCCTATTATAATTTACAGAGAAATTTGGAGAGAGGAGAGAAATGGAGGGCTGTGGTGCTGCAGTTGATGCTGGTGCTGTGGGAAACCGCCGTGTGAGGGCGGCGGCAGGGACTAGGAGGAGGAGCCAGAAGCCGTACAAAGGCATAAGGATGCGCAAGTGGGGAAAGTGGGTTGCGGAAATTAGAGAGCCTAATAAAAGATCAAGAATCTGGTTGGGATCTTACTCCACGGCTGAGGCGGCGGCTAGAGCCTATGACACGGCGGTGTACTATCTCCGTGGCCCCACCGCCAAACTCAACTTCCCCGATGAAATCTCTGCCGTAGAACCCAAAGACCTCTCCGCAGCGGCTATAAGGGCCAAGGCGGCGGAAGTCGGCGCCCGAGTTGATGCACTCTATACTAACAATTTCTCAGCAGGTGGTGGATTTGGCCAAGAAGAGCATGCAAACAGATCCCTCAAACCTTCTTGGTTTCAAGAGATTGTTGACCTCAACAAGAAGCCCGAGCCCGAAGATTCAGATGTTGATTCTTGGTGAAGTTGATGATAGAGAATCAACTAGAAATATATTTTTTTTTTTATCGTTTCTCCTTTTTATCTCTGGGCTGTGTACTGGTTAAAAAACATAAAAGAACCCCCAATCGTAGTTTTGTTTAATACTAAGGTAAATATTTAGCTTTTCCTAATTTCATCTTGTTCGTTTTCTACAAATTGGCAACTTGACTGTATGCGAGCATGTCGTGCTTCAAAAGATTTTTGATCATTGAGGAGACAGTGAGTGTTTCATGGTGGCGGGGGTGGGGACCGTGGATCCAAGTGCGCTGATGGCGGTGGAGGGTGGGGGAACAAGGAGGGGCCTACCATTGCTCGAGTTTGGTGCAAGTGGCTGCTTTGTAAGTTTGAGAAAGTCATAAGATTTGATACTGAGTTATGTATTTCCTTGGTTCTCCACTGTAGCAGATGACTAGAATTGTGGGTACCACGGCAAGGGGAGAGAGGGGGAGAGGGAAACTCCACTATCCACCATCAAAATCATCTATAATCAGAGCTTACTACTTGCTCAATCATGGTCCAATTTACATATTTCCAACGGGGTACACAGGCACTGCACAGTCGTTTTGACATCTGTCTTGTAACATCAAGCTTCCCTTCCAATGGAGTGAAAAATACATATGAATTTATGAAATTGAACTTTTTTCTATCAACTTCAGTTTATCAATGTCTATTAAAGTTTGATAATTTGAGGTAAATCTGCTGGTCTTGATTCGTTGTATCAATGTACCGCACCTATTAGCTAATTGAACCAAATGAAACCCTATAAACTTTGCCCATGGGAACTACAAGATCACTCCAAGAGTGCATTTAGCATTCAAGGATCATGTTGAAATCAATAAGTACTTACAAATAATCACGATGTTTGAATAGACATATTAAATTAACAACACACCAGAAATAAGAATTTGTATGCAAGCTCAACTATTTGCTAGTCAATCCCTACGTGTCTCCCATTAAAAAAATAAAAAATAAAAAAATCTATAATTCTCACGTTCATTTTCAACCACAAATTCACACAATAAAATATTTTGTACGTAAATCAAAAAAAAAATCCCATTTTTTAACCGCAATTCAAGACATCATTTTTTGACAATAATGGCCATCAAACAAGGGCTACATTGGTTTAGACAAAAAATATGGCTAAATCTATTCAACATAAAAACCCCATAAAGTCAATTTCAAAATAAGATGGTAGTACAACCTCTACAGCAAACCACTGCAATCATTTTGTAGTTCAACCACCGAACAAATTTTTAAATGAACATGAATGGAAGAAATTTTGTAATAGATGCTGATGCAAGTACTAAATGATCTGCACATATAAAGTCAATGAAACAAAATATATATGATAGTCAATGAACATCAAGGGCATTCAAAATTTAAAAATAAGTTTCCTTAAATGTAAACTCCATACACTCGTGTCTTCATTAGGGTTCTCTTCTACATTTGGCCAATCTTTCAGGAGTCACCGAGCACCATTTGTGGAAACTATCTTGCCAAATCAACTTGAATCGATATGCTTTCGTACCTGAACAAATTCAGAATATAATCAGCAGCTGCAGCGTAGCTCTTGCAACATTTCCAATAATTCTAACCTTCATAATTAAAACAATTAGCAAATCAGGCAAAGGGAGAAATTTAAGTTGAAACGAAAAAGTGAAGAAAAATGCTATAGGTACAGAATTTTTTGACACAGACAACACATGGCGCAACATTATTGGAAAAAAAAAAAAAAATAGAGGACAGTCCAATTATGTTTTGCCACATCAACGTCAGTACAAGTTCGTTAAAATTTTCCCATACTCATGGCTTTATTGAAAAGGGAAATATGCAAATAAAGCAATAAAATGGCTAAACCAGCTTACTGTCGCCATCCACAATAAGAAGGCACCTATCCTTCATCTTGACTACCAATCTAACAATTAATAAGAAGATACATTTTTAATCCTATGGTTGCTTCTATATTAAGTACATAAAACGGAAGCTGCAATGGTATGCTAAAATCACGAAAAAAGTGACAAACTAGCAGCATCCTTCAGTTCGGTGGATTCATGAACCACTCCTAAAGCTAGCATCATCAATCACCAAGCACTTTTCTATTGGTCTTACTAAACTTCTATACTTTGTTGAGTGTTAAGTGATCATTATGAGTCAGAGACATGGGAGCTGTCATCAGATTCTAAAAAGACGTTCCTGTCATCAGCAGCATGTTCCTCCAAGTGCGAGAATGCCTGTCATGGTTATTCAGCATTGAAGACACAAGAATTAGATTGGATGGCTGTGAAAAGAGGAGTCACCATGAGCAGCAGGATGTTGAGGTCCAAAATTCAAAGTGAAATTTTTGATTTGCATGTTCCTAGTCGTCATGGGAAAGAAAGGCAGAAATAAGAAAGAAACAAATTATTCACTGAGAAGGCTGGCCAGCACAAGAGAAAGCAGAAGGATAGCTAGAGAAATGGGAGATTTCTTTACTTCAAAAATTGGTTACAATAAAAACGGGGAACAAGCTCAGTATCAAGCTTTGCAGGGACCAGTTCGGAGTACTCAGTGGTGAGGAAAGCAGTAGCTTGCTTTCGACCTAAGCGGGAAGTGCAAGTGGAAGTTCAACTGGAAGAGAGAGGATAGAGGAATCTTACACAACCATCAATGGAAGGGACGGGACTCTGATGAAACCACTTTTTCCTTGAGCCCCCTATCTTTTGAAACAAGTGACTTTTCCACATCAGCAGCATGAACATGGGAGCTTGCATGCATGCATGTGTCCACAGAGAAATAGAGTACGCAATCAATTCCATTCCACTTTTAGAATCTAGCATTATTTTTTGAGCAACAATCATAGTAGTTACATTGAAACCCTAAGATATCACATTGCTTTATAGCTAGACAACCATTTCATTCCTCAATTTAATGCTCTCTTTGGCAGCATCACTGTACACAGTACAAAAGAGGTTCCGTCATCAGCTGCAGCTGCAGCCACACATACGTGGAACCTTGACGATAAGCTAGCGAGAGAGAGCAAAAAAGTTATTCAGTTACGGAATCTGACATGGAATGTGATTGGACAAATACCAAAAAAAAAGGTTTTCGGTCATTAGCAGCCTATACACGTATGCATGCGTAGAGAGAGAAAGATATGCAATCTAATTCCAATTTATTAGAACTTTTCAAAGAATGAATACATCATAACATTCAATAAGCAGATGCCAAGATTACAAAAAAATTGTTTCATACATATAGATAATAAAGTTATTCCTCATCAGTACCTTTTTTTGGTGGCACCTTCTGCTCAACACTGATCCTGTGAGATACTAACAGTGGGCAGTTTCCACTCCAGCAGCATTTTCAATTCCCTCCAATCTATTTCAAATAACCAAGGGTGTATTTGATTGGCTTTATTTTCCATGGAAAATATCATTTTTTATACTCAAGTTCCTACTTTTTGGGTGTTTGGTTCACATTTTTTTCATGGAAAATATTTTCTAAAAGTTGCTAATGTGACCATGTTTTCATCAAAATCAAGCAAAACATTTTCGTTAATGCAAGGTAAGTTTATATTTTCCAGATAATTTACTCTCTCTCTCTCTCTCTAATC